GGGGGGGGGGGGGGGGGGGGGGGGGGGGGGGGGGGGGGGGGGGGGGGGGGGGGGGGGGGGGGGGGGGGGGGGGTACTCATGTTTTGAACGCCTTTGTTGTTGGAGACCATTTTTCACGCCACGCGTCCTCGAGAGGACGGGGCATTGTCACACAGGACGGATGAACCGATGGCCAAATCATTCCTTTCTAGTTTGCCAAAGGTGGCTAAAAAATGTCTGCCGTATCCTGTCGACATCGCTTCCCGCCCTTTCAGCCCACTTCTGAAAAAGGGGGATTGCGAAGCGGGTCCCAGCACACCGGGGAAGAGCCGCCCCTCAAGCTCAGAAAGACAAACACGGTACCCCCCCGTCCGTGGGGGATGAAGCAACATCTCTAGTAGGACTGCCTGCTGCTCCGACACATGGCAAATGCGTACATACCTCGTGTGCAAGCCTTTGTTAACGCGCCGAAGTTTACCGCCTTTTGTGTGTGGTTCTTTCACTTTCGGTGCAGTGAGTGCAGTATGGGGTTTCGACTACCAGGAAATACGGACTACGCGCACGCCAATCTGTGGAGTCGCTGTACACCTTTTGAGTCTCTTGGGAAGTGATGGCTTTGTAACAAATAGCCGGCAGGGGCAACGCGGCAGCCTGGAAAAGAAAAAAAAAACATGCCCTCAATCGCACGCAACTCCTTGTATACAGAACGCGCCCGCACTTACAATCCTCTTGCTTCGGACGAGGCGGGGGTTCTTTACCGTATTCCTAGGGTCATGCTACGCATGGTCGCTGTATGGGTTTTAGTGTAGGGGTTCTTAACCGATTTTTTTTTTGTTATTAGGCTCATTTCTGAACTCCTGGGTCCTTAAGTGCGGGCACCTTCTGGCCGGATTGCAATAGAGGGAGACATGAAATTAACCGAAACCAAGGAATCGCGAAACAAAACCGCGGACAACCCGGCAAGCCGCAACACGGCGAATGACTAGTAGTGCACCGCCGCATGGGAAATTTACCTCTCGTACTCTCCGATGCCAACGTTGTCGTCATCACCGTGCAGCACGGCCACCATGTCCTGCATCAGTACCTGAAGGGAACGGGTAGGGCGATCGACGTGGAGGCCACAAACAAGGAAAATATGAATGAAAAGGACATTTGAAGGCCCGAGTCGACCGACAAGCTGCTGCTACACATGCCAATCTACCGTAAGGTTGCGGATCAGCTAGAGCACAGGGATGCAATCGATTTTTAAAGCGTAATTTCTCTACAACCAAGAGGTTACCACCGTCGAAAAGGGCGGTTTTGGAAATATTTCATCGAGAGCTTTCTTTGGGAAGTATCAGTTGGCGCTCGCACCCTCCTGGTTGTGGATAAATTACGCTTTGAAAATCGACTGCACCCCTGTGCGCTGACCCGCAACCTTACGGTAGTCTACAGCGGTAGCGTAGCTCACGTGAGGCTCGACCCAGATGGCCTCGAACCACGCGTTGATGCCGGACAGGGTGACGTCGTAGGCCGTCTGGTTCTGGATGCAGCGGAGCTGGCTCAACACGTCGGCGTCGAAGAACAGCTCCACCTGCAGCGATTCGCCACCGACAAAACCGTACAGCAGGACGCACACGGAAACATGAGACTCGCGGGAGGACCCACCATCCGCCGTACTTACATCATGTGCGACAATGTTACTTCCACACTGCAGCAGCCTGATTTACACGTCCACCGTCTCAGCAGCAGGGTATGTAGCACCTCCTGAGCTGTAGCCGCGGACAAAAATTCCATTGCTGGCACCGTAGGCTGCTCTTCTTGCAATGCAAGCAAACACAAGCCGCTTCGCGGCACTTTCATGCGGTGTCAACGAGATAGGGTAGGACGGGAGAACTGAGTGTGATGGGGGTGCGTGCGATCGACCACTTTTCACCCGGCAGGCGTTTTCGAGCCGCCGCCGCCGCCGCCTCCGAAGAAGCACCTTCCTTCAACTTACTAAAGTCGAACACACGCTGACGACGACCGTTACAACGGAACAAAACATCAAGAAAGAAAAAAGACACAAGCAAAGGAGGAGCCCATTTCACTCGCAAAAGTGGTAGATAGCTCAGGTCCTTCACAATTTGAGTCTCACAGATGACAGCGATTCAAGTAGTCGCGTGGACGCGCGTACAAAACACGCAGGATGTATCCAGTCTCCAATTACGGCGACCGCACTATTTCGGTTGTACTGTAAGCAAAACCACTGAAGGCTGGAAGCTGACAGTTGAGAGCACTTGTCCAGGCCTTCGGTTCTTGACACAAAGCTCCCCCGCGTGTGCTTCACAATGGTGCCCGTAGCCCGGGGTCGTTACGGTGGATGAACTACACACACCACACGAAGCTGCAGTCAACCGCCCGTGAAACGGTTGAGTTTTGCAGCGTGGTCGTTGATTTCGTTTACGCCCCTGAAATAAAATGTTGATGACGTCGCAGGAACACCTAACTTTGAAATCATTATTTTCAATCCAAAACTAAAGGAATCAAGACAGTAGTGAAGGGGTGTCAGGAAAGGGTGCTTTCGTGGAGGACTTTGTGAAGTGTCGTCGTTACACACCTCGCCGTAGTCGGCGGCGAAGACGCAGATGTCGGCATCAGCGAAGCAGGCCAGCATCTCCTCGTCCGTCATCAAGCCCTCGACCACCCCGCAATCCAACTGGTCACGAGATAGGCAGACATGACAAGCAGAAAGAAAGGCAGACACCAATAGAGACAGACAGATAGGCAGACCGACAGGCAGGCAGGCAGGCAGGCAGGCAGACGGACGGATAGACTAGCAGTCAGAGACAGTGGCGGAGGGAGGAAGGGGTAGAGACAGATCAAAATAGCACACCAACTCGTACGCATATAACCACGCAATACGCCATATGCGCGTCGATCTGACGGCACGTGTATCGCGGGCAGGAGGGAAAGATAAAGACATAGGTAACAAAATGCCGGAAGGGAGCAAGCTGTACCACAGCAAGCAACGCGTCGAGCATTTGCTGGAGAATGGGTGCCGAAGGATGTCTCTCGCGTTTTCGCCAACACACCCGTGATACACAAGCATCTTTTTCTTAACGGTCTTCCAGGTATTTGTCGTAGGTTACGCACCACCTCAACACGTACAGGGGGTCGATACTGCTGTAGTCCGACGACCGCCGCACCAGCATCGAAATAACATGCGGGCACCGCGGGAATAAGCTTGCCGGAGAATAAAAAAAGAAAATCATGTGTTCTGCTCGCCATGCCGCCGCCCTTGAGCTCGCTCAGCACAACAATGCCCCTTCCCTGCAACACGACTCCCACACCCGACGCGCAAGATAGACGGAAGTGCACAAAGCACAACCGTGCCCCCCTCCCCCCAGACTGTCGAAACTCCAACCTACACTCCGGAGTGGGTGCCTTCCCAATCCTTTGCCAAACGGACCGCCGTCGCGAGGATTTTACTGTAAATGTGTGGAATAGGAAAGGGGGGTTTCGTATCCCTAGCCTCTACCGTACCAACCCCACAATGCATTCAAACCAAGCTAAACCCGGTTGGTTCCGTCCTACACCTAAATGGCCAAAAACCGCCCGAACAACCCAACTCACCATAGTCCCTCCCGTATCGTTGACGGCCTGACCGTAGTAAGAGTCTAAGGTGGGCTCGCCCCAACCCGAGCCGGCCTCGTAGTACAACGAGTCCTGGTCCGTGGGGAGGAAGGGGAACCAAGCCACGGTGGGTGACTCGTCCAGCTCGAGGCTGCACCCTTGAGCGTTGGTCTTCGTGCAGAACCACACCGTCTGCAAGGCCGCGTGACGCGTGGGGTGCGGGTCGGGCGCGAGAGAACTACATGAACGCGTTTTGGGGGGAACACCAGCAAGGTGTGGTTGGGGGGGTACTCGTGTAATTTCTTTCATGCCGTAGTCGTTGGAACACTGGCCTCACATCCCTGCAACCGCGGGACATTGCGATATGCCGGGTTTTCACCCCGGGCTATATACGTTTCACAAGGGTGAACCACAAGGTGGGGGGGTGGGGGGGGGGCGGGGGGGTATTCCTACATTTTGCATGCCTTAGCGGTTTGCCATTGACGACGCGTCCTCGAGAGGACGGAGCAGCACTGTTCGCACAGGACCGAATCACCGATGGCCAATCGTTCCTTGCTACTTCGCCAAAGGTGGCTCAAAATAGTCTACCCTGCTTCATCTATCCTACCGATATCACTTCCCGTCTTTACTCAACCCACTTCCCATGCCCCAGTACAGCTAACGTCTTCCGCTGGCTATCCCATGCCTCAAACATCTACCTGTACTTTTCGTCTGGGGGGGGGTCTCAACAAGCGAGGTTTGACGAATGAGTCGTGTCCCATGCCAATTCAAAGGGATACCGTGAGTGACACAACAAGTTACCGTATATGACACAAGATAACACACCCCCTGGACCAATTTTCAACGCTCGATTACTCCACGACCAAGAGGATGCACAAACGAAACGATACATTTTTAGAAGCTCTGGACTGGACGAGGCGGTTTCAACGCCGCCGTTTTCGGCGTCGTGACTCTTTCTGTTGTTGAGAAATCAAGATTTGAAAATCGGTCCAGGGGGCGTGTTATCTTGTGTCATATACGGTATGTCACACACCCCGGCAGTGATTGTCAAAACTCCAAGAATCCACGACGAACAGGATGAATAAATCAAAGGAAGGTACGTTTTCGGCAAGCTCTCCACAAGACGGTTCGAAAGCTTTCGTTTCCAACACCGTCACTTTCCGGTACCTTGGAGTAAATAGACTTTTTTGAGAACTCGTTCACCGGGCGTGGCATCTTTTGTCGCTTACGGTAGTCTACACCTGCAAGTGCGAAAGAAACAAAACCCCGCAAAAACACGGTACAAGAAATAGAACACAGAAGATAGCCAGAGAGGCTCGGTCAACAGCCGATAAGATATTGATTTTTATAGCGTGCAAAAAATGTTCCGAAAGCGCAGAACTGGCGAAAGGTACACGCAATGAAAATAGTACCAACGAAGAAACAGCAGTTCCATTCAGGCCACGCCCAACACGGGCGTCAAGCAGGAGCAGTAGAGGTGATCATTAAGGAAGGCACGCCGCTCGCCGACGTATGTGCGTACAGCAGTAGTGGTCCCGATATGTATCGCGGTGTTGGCAGTGGCAAACAAAGACCACGCGCTCAATCGGAATCATTGCTGTTGGGGGAAGGTCCCTGAGTGCAAACTTAGTAGGTTGTTGTACCAAGGAGGTTGTACCGCGATAAATCGGGGAAGAACCGCCTTCGAGAGGAATTTCGGTTTTTGAGGATATAGACCAGGGACGGGGTATGCAGATCTTATCAATAACCCAACTTCGCCGATCCTTTGCATCCTTTCTCCAACATGTTAAGCTTAGAGTCAGCCATTCGGTACAGCGATATTGTATCGGGACCACATTTGTACCTCGATCTCGTCGAAGAGCTCGTTCGCCCTCGCCTCCTCGTTGTAGAAGAGGGAGAAGAGCTTGATGGCCTCCGCGCGGCCCAGCCCCACGGCCTCCCCGCTCTCCTGGTACGCCACAACAGCCACGCCGTTGTGCACCATGGTGGCGTTCTCGCACAACGAGGTCGTGAGAGAGTCCCCGAAGGCCACCTGTGTGTTTTCGGTCCAGAGGCGTTTTGTTTTTCGAAGCGTTATTGTTTTGCAGGAACGGAGGGAGAGAGCAGCAGCCTTCAAGAGGATAATTACCTTGGTTTTAGTAGGTGGGGTTAGCGATAGGGATACGAACCCCCCTTGTCTATTTCATTGACAACAAAAAAAAAAATCTCCAAAAGGCAGTCCGGAGAGAGGGGGGGAGGAGGATGTTGTGTTGCCAATGGGTGTCCGCGTTCTAGATATGTGCGTGGCAAAATGAACAGCCGACGACCTGGCACACTTTGTGGCAGCGCACGGCGAACAGGAAAGCAACAACCGTTCGCGCGAGGAGGTCCCACAACCGGATGTCACATGTGTACGAACTCTTGATCTAGTGGGCGTGTTCGTCGCCCGACCAGGCTGTTTGCTTTGAGAGTACCGGTAGCGGGAAGCATGCGCCCGAACCTACGCTAAGCAGCCATACGCATGCAATCCTTTAGCTTGCGACATTGTTTGGTGAGAACCGGTTGTGGAGTGAGTCGGGGTTGGTCTCTTGGGTGTCGAAACGCAACCAGTCGTCATGGCGAAGCCGTTTCACGAGAAGGTACATAAATAAATCATGAAGCTTTCAATGATTACCACCAGACCTTCCTACTGACGTCATGATGGAGTGAACAAAAACAAGAGTGATAGTACTGCTGTAGTACCGCTTCATTTGTACACATGGATGCGAGACACGATAAAACCGGTGCCGAAAAGCACACAATATCAACCGGAACCAAGCGGGGTCTTTTTCTTCGTGTTTTTTTTTCGACCAACATTCCCAAGCTCGTTAATGTGCACCAACATACCTCTACCGAGGCGTTCACGAGGGCCTCGTTGTCGATGATGTCCTGCCCGCACACGGTGTCGAACGTCAGGGCCTGAACCACAGTCCCGTTGTCGACGAGTTCGTCCACGCATGGCGAACCGATCAGCCCCACGTTGCCGGTGTAGGCCACGATGCTGTCCCTGTGTCCCAGGAGCTGGGATCGATCCGATGTGTTTTTGTACGTGGGCACGCGAGACGCGAGGGGGGGGGGCACGAGGGGCGGTTGGCGTGCAGCACGTTCCCGATTGTGGTCTCTAGCCTCTAGCCATAACAGTAGGAGTGGTCGACGTGGCGCTTGCTTTTTACATAGCCACTTAGACTACACTTTGAAGAAGAGGGCAGTACAAACGGCGAGACACTGCCGAACCAGGCACGGCATGGTTAAACAAAGCATGTCGCCCTGCCTAATTCATCTAATGCGCGGGCGGAAGAGATAAACAAGAACTGGGAATACTTACGGGGGAATCTCCCGCCTGAATTGCACCGGCACAATGCGGCCCTTGCCGTGCGGTGGTGCTGAGATGCAACTGCTGCGAATACAACTGCATCACTGGGAACCCCACTTTTCTGTTAGGCAAGGCTAGCTGTACGCCGGGAGTTGATTAGGACATTGTACCACCGACAATCCAATAGCACCGGAGGTTCACGGGCCGATCCATGGTTTTCCGGAGGCGGCCCGACACCACTCGAGGACTATCGTAGATGAGAGAAGGAGAAGGAGACAGTAGTACGAGCATAACAACCTCACGTTGCAGGGGTACCGACTGGTCATAACATGAGTCGAGCCGAGATTGCTGGCATGAATAACACATTCCATGCCCATCAATTAATAACACTTCCATGCCCACACAGCAGAACCGAATCCATTCTCAAGTGTGAAACAACAAATCAATCTAGTTAAAGCGACGCACCATTTTCTTACAGTTTTTTTGTTGCCAAGAGTATAAGTGCGCGCATGAGGGATCACCGATGTACCCGCACGCACACGACCACAGCGCAACACGCCCGAAAAGACTGCACCTCAATTCTCGGGACGTGGTCCGTGGTTCCGGTAGACACGTTCGACACGGGGATGCTGATGTACTGCTGCACGACGGTGGTGTCGTCGAGGTCCGGCACGGGCGTGCCACACTGGTAAAGGACGTACACCGTGTCCGAGAACCCATCCGAAACCGTGAGGACCTTGTACGTCGGCAAGTAATCCACGGTGAACGTCTCCGCGTACTCGATGACGGCCTTGTCGGGGAAGTAGTCCACGCCCGCCGCGGCGTCGTAGTCGGCCACGCAGCCGTCCGGGTTGCTCGACAGGGGCGACGACCCGCTAGTAGTAGTCTGGGCCAGGACGACATTTTCGTTGTTGTTGCTCCCGAGGAGGCCTGCGGCTGCGGCCGCCCCGAGCAGAAGCTTGATCGTCGTCGTCATGCGGCCACATGGGTTGAACCGCTTTCCTCTCATGATTGTTGAACAATAATGCGAGTCAAGGGGTAGGTTCAAGCGAACAAACGATAAAGCGCAGAACAGAAAGAACGGGAGATTTGTAGATATCCAACGTCGTGCTGTGCGTGTGGGTAAGAAGAGAGGCGGTAGGCGTCCCTGAGATGCTGGCCGTTCATGTAGTGAAGAGCCGCGCGAATGTGAAAGGAAGGACAGGCGCAAGGTGGATCCATCACCTTTGACCAATAGCAGCCTACGCAGGCGCGTGATGATCCGGGCTTCGTGTGACGTCTATAGATTCACCGAGTAGTTTTGCAGTTTCGTCGCCTTGCTTTTTCTTTTTTACATGAGAGATCTCCGGAGAAGTATAGCGGTCGAATTACGTTGTTATTTTTTTTTCAAGTGCGGCCTTCGAACTTCACTTGTACTCGTGTCACTGGAATCTTTCGTGAAGCGAGGCACACGGCGATCATAGCGAGGGGTACGGCCTGCGTGTGTAGGTTGGCCTGTGTGTCGATACCTGCCAGGATGTCCCACGCGGAGGCCTTCGGGCAGCTCCGCTCCTTTATGGTCGGCCTCGAGACGAAGGCGAGGGACCTCCGGAAGGTGCTCGAGAGCAATCGGAAAGAGGGCGGGAAATGGGTCAACGGCAAACACGGGACAGGCATCGGAGAACGCTGCTCCCGAGGTGTGTGAGGGAGAGAGAGAGAGGAACAAAGCGTGTAGCAGACGTTGCATTGTCGGTAAGAGAAAACGTAATTGCGAGTCATCGTCCTCCTGGCTTGTGCTGCTCTGCAAGCCGATCTGTCTGCTGGTTCAGCAGTATTGCTGCGGTGATAATTACCTGTGGACTCTCTGGTGGACGTAGGGTAGTCCTCGGTCATGGCAATGGGCCCAGAATTGAATCGATATATCAACATAACCTGGAAGCTCTCTAAGTGAGCGAGCTACGCGCCCCTCGGCGTAGAAAGGAAGGTCCGTGCGTCGCTGCTCTCTGTCTGTGGCAACTTCCAACTGTCACCTGCTGCTGCGGTGTTGGCATCGTACTCTCAGTATTAGCGTTGCACAACAGTGCAACTTGCCGAAACTATCCAGGTGCTCATGGCAACGCTCGTATTCCTATGCCGCTGACGGCCTAGCGTAAGGGCCATCAGTGCCCTTGAGGTTAATCGCTTCTACAGCAGTTAGCAGTTGATTTACTACTGTAGCTGATTGGAGTATGCCCGCACTTCAAGCACTCTACCCACAGTCGGCAGTTCAGCCACGGCGTATCCCCATGGTCACCACTCAGCGGCCACTATCAGAC